AAAAATAAATGGAAAAAAAAATTTAAAAAAATGAATAAAAAATAAAAAAAAAAGAGAGAGAGAGAAAAAAAAAGTTATGTGTGTGGTTCTGGTACATGAAGTTGACCTTAGTGTTTCACTCTTGAATTCCTAAATTTGCCACAGGAAGATGACTTGTGGAGATTTTGTTTCAAGGAAGATAAGGTACATAGGGAGAAAACCCAAATCTTATCTGCACTCTTCATCCAAGCCCAGGCATGTCCAGTTAGATTAAGTGACTCCAATCTAACTTGAAAGTAGGAGAGCAAGAAATAAATGTTTGGTGCTATAATTCAGTGGCAACCCACTCCAGTATCCTTGCCTGGGAAATATCATGGGTAGGGGAGCCTGATGGGCTGCAGTCCATGGGGTCACAAAGAGTTGGGCACGACTGAGTAACTAACACTTACAAGGCAGTGAATTTTAAGAGGTGGTGATCTAGCAAATGCTTCCTGGCATAACAGCACACATTAAAAATTATGAAATATGCCAAGTTTGTGTTTCATAACGTGGATATAAAGGTGTGCGAGAAATTCATCTTGACTTTGAGGAGATTTTAATCAAATGATTAACGACATTGAAATAATATAACATTCTGTTTCATAGTAGGATTTTTGAGAAGGTGACTAAAGAATTAGATTCCTTAATGCAGGTTGCTTCTTCCTTAAAACTAGCTAATTTCTGAATGTGTCTGTCTCAGTGCTTTTCCTTTTCTCTAAACCTGTGATTTAGCATCCCCACTCTGAAAAACCTGGTTTTAGGATGTTAGAAATTTACATCTGAATTTCAACAAATTTTGATGAACAAATAGACATCATACACATGAAAATGACTTTTGTACAGCAGAGATCTCATGTGTTACAAGCAAATTCATAATTTTCCACTAGTGTGAGGTTTATCTTCTTTCTAAATTCTTTACTGAGTGGGACTTCAAAGTTCTTTGTGCTAAGGTGCTTCATTCGTGTCTCTCTTTGCGATCCCATGGGCTGTATAGCNTATTCTCAAAATGATTTAGTATAAATCTTAATAGAGAAGAATAAATTAAAGTAATGTATTTCTTATTGCAATTAGTAGCCTTGAAATTAGTAGCTGTTGTATAATAAGTGCATTAAAATATATGTGTACATATATTAATATATGTTACCTTCATTAACATATATTACCTATTACATAAATATATCATATATTTATCACTTTCTATAAATTATTTTTATAAAGTTACTGAAACATAAAATCCAAATGTGCTTTCACTTCAAATCCAAATGTGCTTTCACTTCAAAGATTTTGTTTTTCTTTTCAAATTTATTTTCTTTCTTTTTTTATTCATCCTACATGGGCAATGGTTACTTATTTGAATAATTAGATAAAAGTATCTCCTGGAAATTATTTTGGCGATCATTGTTTATATGATAGAGCATATAAGTAGGATATTCTTCCATTTTTAAAAAAGGATTAAAAAGCCCCATAATTTGTACTTTATTTTAGACTTTAACAGTTGTATTAGAGAATATTTATGCATCATGTTTAATGTATTAAATCATATGGATAGCCTTGGAACATTAAGTGAAAGTGATAATGAATTTATTTATCAATTATCTCAACCCTCTAACAGCTAAGTTTTTAATATTTTCTTTTTAGAGACACGACAGTCAAGATACTAATATATCAATGTCACTTGCACAGTTAATTCAGTCTTAAGTTTCTAATATATTAATCATCTTTATTATCTGTAATATATTGTACAGATTTAAGCTGGCTTTCTTCTTTTTATATTCTTAGTCATTTATAGTTAAACATTCATGATACTTTCACATTGTTAATGATACATTGTGTGTGTGTGTGCTCTGTCTCTCAGACTCTTTATGACTCCATGGAGTGTAGCCCACAAGGTTCCTCTGTCCATGGAATTTTCCAGTCTAAACCCTGGAGTGGGCTGCCACTTCCTCCTCCAGAGGATCTTCCAGACCCAGGAACTGAACTGATATTGGCAGGCGAATAATTTACCACTGTGCCACCTGAGAAGACACTGTAAATCATTAAATATGTCATATTTAACACTCTTAAATTTCTACATATTAATTAGCAATTATTCCAAAGAAGAATTTAAAAGTAAGGTCACCTTAGGGTAGTGGACGACCCGATAGAAAATAAGATATATCACAACCTTAAAAGTTACTATAATTTATGTCCCACTCTCTTGAGAGAAGAGTTTATTTACTGTCTGGATTCAAGTTGACTGACACCTTTATTGATTAATTTTATTTTGTCAAAATACATATGTCCTTAAGGTATAAAATATTTTATATCAGTTAGTCTGAATTACTTTCTGAAAACAGCTGCAGGGTACAATGTTTAAAACAAAATCAATATTGAATTGCCTCTTGTTGATAAATAATACTTTGCTGACCTCCACCACTGAATGGCTTTTATTTTCCTACTTGGCAAATAAGGCACAGGGGTTAAGGATACTCATTGTCAAATACTGCTTGGCTTCCGGAGGTCAACAGAAAAATGCAGGTAGTCAGAGAGTTGCCATGGCTTATGTGCCAGCCTAGCAAGATCCCAGATTTAGGTTATGTTTATGTGACATTTATCTAATAAGGAAGGCCAAGCAGAATGATAAATGTTTTTCACTGCATCTGTGCAGAAATGGGTTTATAAACAAGAACCTGCCATAAATCACAAAAACAGCTTTGTAAAAAAGTATCTAGAGACTAGATGTATCTTTATAATTACTTGAGACCTCCTGTGTCCTGCTTTCATACCTTCCACTGTTCTTTTAGATAAACTCTTTAATCCTGCTTTAAACTCAAGTTATTTTCATTCTATTTAAGACATGGGTTATGGCCAGAATACATTTTGGGTAACTCCTTGAGTATTCTATTAGACTCCATAAATGTCTAGTATGACAGTTAGATGCCAATAATAAAATACCTTTAATGAACCTACCACTTTCTACCAGTTTTCCAGCTCTTTCTTCCTCACTAGGTATCAGTCTTTTCTTTAAGATAACATTTGACCTTTTCACATGTGTATAGTAAGTTAGTGATTTCAGGATTTGGAAAGGCAAATGTTCAAAGAAATCAATACCTTGTTCACAATAGTGGCCGGAAGATTTCATTTAGAAGTTTTAATCATGTTATCCAATAGGAAGAATAGAACAAATAAACACTATATAATAGAAATGACACCAAGAGGGTCAAAAAATTTTTTGAAAAAGTGTGATACATTGAAAAGTAGTGTATCTAGTCCTAGCAATTTTTCACTCTACAGTATTATCAACCATCAAGAAATGGTCTGAGTGTAAGAAAATACTCAATTCATAACAGATACAGCATAAAGAATAAAAGATTAGAGAGGACAAGAGCTTTCAACATAAGAGCAGATAGAATTTGACATCCTTTAAAAATGTGTTTGTATTTCCTCCTGTGGCTGCGATACTTAATTGATGCACAATTGCTCTAATAGTGTTTCTTCACGTTGGTTTACAAAAGAACTTTGCAGTAATCAGAGAACATAAAGTGCAGAGCTACACAGTAAATGCCTTAGCACTTGGGTCAGCCCATTTAATTTCTCTTTCAAATTCAATTGTTCACCTGCTGTGCTTATTAAATACAAGCATACTGTCTGTATCTGAATGCACTGGCTGTGTCATTTTGGCACTGTCTACCTACTGCTTTTGCCATTTCTAATAAGAGCTGCCTCTGTCGGAGGAAATCCCCAGAATATAAAGTAGGTATACTTCTTTCCATATGCATTGTTTAGTTATTTAAATTACCATATAACTAATTTATAATCTTGGCATTGCTACTGGCTAATCAACTTATTATTTTTATAGTAACTGGAGGAACAACATACACTGCCAAAGGGAACATTTTAAATTAGTTAGGTTAGTGAGTTACTTGGTTATTATGAATAATTAGGAACACTTTTGAATTTCAATACATTTAATGTTTGGACACTGAGATACTTGTTGATAAACTGATAGAAATAATACATTTAAAAAGAACTCTTTATTTTAAGCTGGTCAGAAACAACAAAGACAATCATTAAAGGTCTCTGAAAATTAATAAAAAGGCTTAAACAGGCTCCTCAGTCCAAGAAATTCTCCAGGTGAGAATACTAACGTAGATAGCCAATTACTTCTCCAGGGGATCTTCCCAGGGATCGAACCTGGGTCTCCTGAATTGCAGAAGAGATGGAAGTAAATCTTTTTAACTTTGTGTTAGGCAGTGATTTCTTAGCTATGACACCAGAAATACAAGTGATAAGAGAAAAAATTAATAATTTGACTTCATCAATCTTTAAAAAAAAAATTGCTCTGAAAATATTGCAGTCAAGAAGGAAAAATGTAAAAAGCACAAAGTGAAAAAATATTTCCAAATTATTTATGCTATTGTGGAATTGTATAAAGAATACAGAAAAATTCTTATAATAATATAAGAATAATCTAATTTATAGATGTACAAATAATCAATTGCAAAAGTACAAATAACTGTTTCTCCAAGAAGAATACAAACGTCCAATAAGCACATAAAAAGTTGTATATAAGTAGCTATTAAGGAATGCAAATCAAAACCATAATAAGAAACCAATGCCATACTGTAAAGCAATTATCCTTCAATTAAAACAAATAAATAAAAATAAATTAAAACATTGAATACTAATTATTTAAAATAATATTAAATACTAATATTTAGTGTTAATATTAAGATAATACATTAATATTAAAATAATTAAATAAAAAGAAAACACAATGAGATATCAATTTACACCCACTGAGATTCCTATAATAAGATTTGAGAGTAACAACTGTTGATATTATGAGATGACTGTGTTTCTCCCAAACTCATATGTTGGAGCCCTAATCCCCAGCATCTGCAACAATGACTTATTTGAAGATAGAGTTTTAAAGAGCTAATTGAATTAAAATGTGGCTGTTCCAGTCATCCCTAATCCAATATAACTGTTATTCTTATAAGAAAAGGAGGTGAGAACACAGACAGCACAGACCGGGAGGCCCTGGGTGCGTGTGTGCAGAGAGCGTCAGTCACAAGGAGAGGCAGCAAGAGAGTGTCCGCCAGCGGCCACGAGAAATTCAGAGGAAACCACCCTGCTGGCGCTTTGATCTTGGATTCCAGCATCAAGAAGTGTGAGAAAACAAACTTCTATTGTTTTAACCACCCATTCTGCTTTTTTTTTTTTTTTTAATGAAAAGCTTGTCAAACTATTACAGTTGGCAAGGATGTAGAGAATGCTCATATACTGATGGAATGAATGTACAATAGTGCAGGCAGTCTGGAAAACATTCTAAATTTTCTCAAATTTTTCAATGTAACATTATCACCAGGCACAAAACTTCACTCCTAGATATATGCCCAACGTAAGTGAAAACTTATGTCCATGCCCAAACACATACACCACTGCTCATAGAAACTTATCCAGAATAGCCAAAAGTAGAAACAACCCAAGAAACAATTCAACTGGTGAATAAGGAAACAAAATGTGGTACATTCATATCATGGAATATTATCCAGGAAGGGTTGAATGATATAATGATACATTCAGTATTATGGGTGAACCATGGTATACTAAGTAAAAGAAACCAGTTAACAAAATACCACATGTAGTATAAATCCATCTTTTTAAAAATAATTTTATGTATTTGTGTTTTGCTGCAAAACAATTTATTTGTATTTTGTTTTGGGTCCTTGCTTCTGGGCAGGCTTTGCCCTAGCTATGGTGAGCAGGGCCTACTCTCTAGTTGGGGTGCATGGTCTTGTCATTTCAGTGGCTTCTCTTGTAGCGACAGGCTCCAGGGCGTGCAGGCTTCAGTAGCTGCAGCACGTGGGCTCTAAAGCACAGGCTCAGAAGTTGCGGTACATGGGCTGAGTTGATCTGCAGCATATGGGATCTTCTGGAATTAGGGATAGAACTGATCTCTCCTACATTGGCAGTAGTGTGATGAATATATTCTAAAATTAAATGGTTCTTGTAATTGTACAACTCTGCGAACACACTAAAAAGCATTGATTATATACTTTAAAAGAATAGCATTTATGTTAAATTATTAAATCTTAATAAAGTGGTTGAAAACTACAATATTTGTCAAAATTCTGTTCAAAGGTGTAAAAAGCAATGCATTCTTATTTCAGATCTTGACAAACCTTTATTTTCTCTGAGTCAGCAAAAAATTATTAGTATCCATTCTGAAAGAAAGAGCCTAGAGACCTGACCCATTTACTTGAGATCAAGAAGCTGAGCTTTTAAATATCCCATGCTTAAGAAAAGAAAATGCATGCCATGGCCTGCAAGGTAAATGAGGAAAAATAAACATTCTTCTGCTTGAGTTGAGACCTCATGGCTATACAAGACATGCACTTACAAAGCTGTATTGAAAATGGACCAGCTCTCATAGGGAGTAAAATTCTTGTTCAAATCATGTCAATCCTTGATAACATTAAAAGGATTTGTGAACCCTGTGATCTTACCCTAACCATCTTGCAGAGCACATTTAAATCCTCTCTAGAGTGAGACTTCACCATTCAGAACGTTAAATAATATGTAATTTGTCATGCACAGTCTACTGACCAAAAGGAAAGAACACACAATAAAAATGACTCTTTGTGACCCCATGGTCTATACAGTCCATGGATTCTCCAGGCCAGAATACTGGAGTGGGTGGCCTTTCCTTTCCCCAGGGGATCTTCCTAACCCAGGAGTCAAACCCAGGTCTCCTGCATTGCAGGCAGATTCTTTACCAGTTGAGCCACAAGGGAAGCCCTAATTAAAGGGGAAGACTTCAAAATAACCATGCTTTTTATGTTCATTTAACTAAAAGACAAGGATCGATATTTTTAGGAAAGAATTAGGGCACAATAAAATAAGAAAAAGAATTAAACTGTAGAAGTCATATATTAAACTCAGTGAATGACTTAGTATTTTAGTCACAGCCTGAGAGAAAATTAGTGATCTGGGTGATAAAAGAAAATTTCTGGACAGACACACACGAAAAAATGGATAATACAGAAAAAAGCATAAAAGTATTTTTTTCCTATATCACGATACCAAAAGATATATTTATTCAGATTTCCAGGAGAAAGGGGATAAAAAATAGGGTTGATAGAAATCATAAAGGGATAAAGGCAGTGATGTCAGCCTCATGGTGGCATGAGATACCTTCTTTGTCTCCTCTTTAACCCACCACTAGCAAAACATCCATAACTCAAAAAGTTCCCCTCTGCCCAACTCACCAGGACAGCAGTGAGAGCCACACATGTGTGTATCTGAAGGAGGGTCGATTGGGACTCACGGGGAGGGCAGAACCCAGGAAACGCTAGAAGCAGTACCCACAACCCCAGTCCCCCGGTTGCAGCAGGTGAGCCCAGAGCCCCAGCAAACCTGGTGGTGGTAGCAGAGGCTTTGCACACAACCAGAGCCTCCTGGTCACAGCGGCGCTCGTGATCGCCGGGAACCAGGGCTCCTGACCTGTGGAGGTGCCTGTGACTGCTGCCTCCTTGCTTGTGGCAGCGGTCCCTGTGAACCCAACAACCCCAAACAAAATGAAGGCATCCATGACCCCAGCCCTTGACTCCTCTTGAGCTTGACCCCTCTAGACCCCTCTTGACCAGCTCTTGACCCTGGGGTCTTCAGGACCCCACCCTCTTCCTCCCTTGTTGCAGTAGCAGTGCCTGTACCCCAGAAGGCTTCAGATGCAGCAGAACTGCCCCATTTCTGGTGCCTGACGACGGGGGCACTGCGGGCAGCTCTTACAGAGGCAGTGGGCGGGGGTGGGGGGCGCAAGTGCCAGCTCTAACTGTAGACAGTCAACAGAAGAGAAAAACCAGCAAAAACCTGCTATAGCGCCACCTGCTGAAAAACAAAAGACAGGCCTCTAATTATCAGTCTACTGGATTGTTGGGGCTCCCCTGGTGGCTCAGACTGTAAAAGCATCTGCCTACAATGTGGGAGACTCAGGTTCAATTCCCCGGTCAGAAGATCCCCTAGAGAAGGAAGTGACAACCCACCCCAGGACTCTTTCCTGGAAAATTCCATGGATGGAGGAGTCTAGTAGGTTACAGTCCATGGGGTTGCAAAGAGTTGGGCATGACTGAGCAACTTCATTTTCACTTTCACTGGATTGTTAGAATCGGAGAAAGCAGAGCTTTGCCTAAGTGTTTGCTACTTCCAATATGTCAGCAGAGAAATGACTCATCAGGAACCATGAAATACCACGGTAACATGGTACTACAAAAAGACAATGACAGTTCTCCAGAAACCAACTTTAAAGTCATGGAAGATTGTGAACTAACTGATAGAGAAAAAAAAAAAAGCTGTTACCCTCATTAAGCTAGCTGCAGATTTCACAGCTGAAACTCTGCAAGCCAGTTGAAAACAATTGACCCATGTATTGTAAGTCTTGGATACAATTATCTGCATAATATATTTATCTTAATAATTGTTGTCATTTATTTTTATACCATTTTATTCCTCTACAGCTGTTGCATCAATTGTATTTAATAGCCATTATACAAGTAATTTTTCAAGAGAAAGGCTGTGAGAATGGAAATGGTAATATTCTTGCTCTGTATTTTTATTTAATTCTGTACTGAGATCAGTGCCAGAATTTGAGAAAATTCAAAATATTTTTGGCTGTAGTCTTTATCTGAGTAGTTTTATTTAGGCCTAAACAACTCTTTGAATGCCTATGACTAATCTTATGGCCATAGTATCATTATTATGTGTTAGTTGCTCAGTCCTCAGTCGTAGACACGACTCTTTGCGAGTCCATGATCTCTCCATGGAATTCTCCAGGCCAGAATGCTGGAGTGGGTTGCCATTTCCTTCTCCAGAGGATCTTTCTGACCCAGGAATTGAACCCAGGTCTTCTGCATTGCAGGCAGATTCTTTACCATCTGAGCTAGAACCTTATGATAATTTTTATAACAAATACTACTAATAATTAAAATGTATATAGTACTTACTCTGAACCAGGCAGAGTTTTAAAGATTTGCATTTCATCTTATCACCTCAGACACCCCACAACTATTATGGTGCTCGTCTTATAAATGAGGAGACTGAGGCACAGGAAAGTTAAGTAACATCCCTATGGCACACGGTCACTCAGTGTCTAAGTGAAATTCTAATTTAGGAAGTCCTAGTTCAAAATACACCTCTTCTAGCTTTAATCTCTCCCTAACATTTAAGGAGTGGTAGACACTGGCCTTTTAGAAATGGTGTTAAAATGTCAATATACAGTCTGGCAGAAAGAGCAATCAGTTAGCACCCTCCACACCATCCCCTTTCAAGCTAGTTGATGGAGAGTACTTTATAACCTTTCAGTTCTAACCTTGACAGTCATAGAGACTTTGGCTTTTGTGGAAGACACCAAGAATACATCAATTTCCAGGAGGCATATGAAAAGTTAAAAGGTGGCTTATAAATTGCAAATGAAATGCCCAACTGTGTTTAGCACACCCATTATTGGATTCATGCATCACCAAGGCTTGGTTTCATAGTTGAGAATCCTTAGATTCAAGGATATTTGGCAGAACTTAGCAGTCCAAATGTTGTGTAGCAGGTTTAGCCTCTGCTGTCTATTGAATTTCTAATTATTGTCTTTTCTGTCATATGCTATTGGTTTGTTCTACCCTTCTGTGACTACACCTTTTAGATTTCCAAAATATCAGTGGGAGGCTTTTAATCTACCTAAAAGAATTCTGACAACAGAGTATAATATATAATATAAGGACATTATACTCCTTCTCAAATGGAAATTATCTCACTGTCTCCCGGGATGTATCTTAATGATGTGTCTAAAAGATAGATATAATTGAGGACTTATTTAAGCACTGTTCAGCTTGTGTTCAGAGCACAAGTAATTACAAAAACACTTCAATTGTGTAGTACAATCTTAAGGAAAAAAATCTAAAAAATGGGAGATTGAGGCAGAAGATCAAGAGAACAAATGTGATGGGGTACCTTCTAGCTCCTGCTGTGGGTACATCAGATTGCTCCTTCTTGAAGGATTATATAGAGACTGGCTTTATGAACTGCTGTAAAGCCCATCTGGTTGGAAGAAGGGAGAAAAACAACCCATCATTGTCCTACAATTCCTTCTCTCATGGATTCACATTCACGCCACACTCCACT